CGAAGTTTGAGAAATAGTTCTAAATGGTCCCTTTTTTTTAACTGTTAATTAACTAATATTAAAATGAGGTGACAAATTACAATTAAATTGTTTATTGTAGTTACGGATGTGGCAAATTATATTAATTAAATAATATATGTGTGGGTGATGGTGCTTCCCCTTCTTCTCGTCATCTTTTCCTCTCTCTTTCTCTTACCCTCTCCCGATGACCACCACATCTTTGCGGCCGTCGTCCGCCATTCAAATAAACAATTTAATTATAATTTGCTACATCATTATAATATTAGTTAATTAACAGTAAAAAAATATCAGGGATCATTTAAAACTATTTGTCAAACTTCAGGAATCAAAAGTGTTCATTTTAAAACTTCATGGACGAGGTTGACACCTACTTTAAACCTCAAGGACAAAAAATATTCATTTTGAAACTTGAAGGACCAATTAGGCACCTACCTCAAACCTGTGGGATCAATAGTGTTTATTTTGAAACTTTAAGGACCAAGTAGACACCTACCTCAAAAACTTCCGAAACCAAAAATTTATTTGATTTTTTTTTCTTTTTGGAAATAATGAAACGTGATATTATTAATAAAATGTCCCAGTCCCCAATATCACTATCAGTGCCTCATTTTTCAATAATCCAATCAATTATAAACTTTAAATTTATTTTTAAAAAAGTGAAACATGTTGACACAAAGTTGGAAGGGGACAAGTTTAATATTAAATTATTAGCATTATATATACATCTTCCAAAAGGATGAATTAAATTATTCATATCAATATATAATTTGTGGATTTTATTGTTTACAAGTTCAAACTCGGGTTTAAACTAAGGATGATTAGTTCTATTAATTGAAGGATTTGATATTGATATGAGAGATTGGTGTTTGATGAATAATGTGTTAGCTTATGTTAGATTTAGTTTATATTAGTCAAAAGTTGTTAATTTTGGACCGAATAATATTAGGGTAATAGTAGTGAGTAGTAAAAATATTTTATGTATTTCACAAAATGTCATCAGTTTTTTAAAAATTCAAACATAGCAAAATATTTAAATTTTTATTATTCCAATTTTACTCTTATGATATCTGAAATACATTTAATCTACATCTGATGTATATCTGTATCTTATATACATTCAATTTATATATGATATACATATGATGTATATCTGTATCTGATATACATCAAATATTTATCTCATGTACATCTGATGTACCTCTAATATACTTCATCTAATGTATCCTTTATATACATCTCATGTACACCTGAATTTGGTAAATACTAGGATATTCATTAAAATAGTTTAGACTTGTAATGAAGTTAAACTCCCTCAATCCAAATCTTACGAAGTTCCCATTTAAATTGAATATCTATGCATCTCGTGGGCTCTTTTCAAATATTCGGCAAATTAGATGTACTAATAATTGTAATGGACATCTCCTAATATTCAATGACAAAAAGTGTCCAAATGATTAATTTCCAAAGATTTCTATTTGGGTTGGTGCTAGCATTTTGAGAATGTTATCTATTATTCTAATTTGAATATTGTTGAACTTTTGCATTAAAATATCATATTTCATTCTTTTGTTAAAGTAAAATCAACATTATATCAAATGTAAATCAAACTATCACATCAATAGTATATCAGACAATCATATCAGTAGTATATCAAACAGTCATTTCAGTAGTATATCAAATACTCATATCAGTAATATATCAGATGCTCATATGAATAGTATATCGCATGTACATCAAATATATATATCATATATCACAAACTCATATCAATAGTATATCACAAACTCATATAGTAGTATATCACAAACTCATATCACTAGTATATCATATTTATATCAGATGAAAATTAGGGGGAAATCAAAATGCATGGTTTTTTAGGCTTGGGTTTGGGCCTACAAGACAATATTGTCATTTATTACGTGGGTCTCTGTTTTTTTTTTAAATACTATATTTGAAAACGAAAACATGGTTGCTATTTTGCTAATTTTACTTTTTTTTTCTTTTTTTTTTCCATATTTGGTCCTTAATTTTACTAATTTGTTAATTAGTGTTTTAGATTTAAATTTTAAAAGAGCTAATAAAAACAGAAGCATAAATTTTTATATCAATTTTCATTATTACTTCTGAATCTTATATTTAACATATTTTATTTTAATCCTCCAATTAATTTTTAAAAAATTTTATTTGGGTCATTATAAAATTTATGGACAACGTTTGATTAAATTTTAGGTTTAAATATATACATGTATTTTTTTTTTTTTGAAAAATATAAATGTGGGATGGAAATTCGAACTTCCGACCTCAAGAATCAAGATTCAATCGGTTAGTTTGAATGCGTGAAAAAGATTGTACAAGAGGTCATATACAAGAAAAAAGAAAAGGTAGACTCAATATCATAGAAATCTAATACATTGGAATCAGCACCGTGTTATTCGTTTGCAAAAATAGGACTCAAAAGAATCATGATTCGATAAATAGGCCACTGATCGACATCCAAGCTATTAGAGGCTATTTACCGCCTACCACGTGTCGATGGAAAAAGGTATTTGCATAAATGATGCTTATATTACGTTTCATTTCCGGTCGGTAAGCATTTCCCGAGCCGACATATTGAATACTTTAGTCAGCCGACCTGGCAGAGGTTCGAGCCGACCTATAGGTAGATATCTGCTGTGATGTTAGCGACACCATTCTCCGACAACACGCCGTGTTTCACGGGCGGTCATGTGGCCGTTATGCCATTGTCGGAAGCCCTGCCGGAGATTATCCCTATAAATAGGGATGTCTGCCCCTTATACAATGTACGCAAATCCATTTGCATCCTGAGCGTTAGATCAGACAGTGACTGACTTGCTTGTCGGAGTGCTAGCCTTGTTTTGCAAGTCCTTCGAAGGAGCACGGTAGATCGTCTTGTAGGTGCCGATCTTAAGGGATTCAGAGCTTGACCATTTTTGGATCAAACACAAGCTAGCTTTACTGACTAATAGCGATGAGGGTCCGACAAACGTGTACCAAATCATTGGAGGGTAGCTAAGTAAGAAAATAAGCAAAGATAATTTATGATCACTTCTCTACTAGCTCGGGTTGGTTATAAATAGACCAATCGAGTTTGGAAATGAGAGATTTGAGATTTATGTCAAATATATTATGAAATTTTAACAAAAGACCATTTTGGATATTTTGTAAAGTTGAGTAGGTGTGAATCAAAATATTTTATGATATAAGAACTAAAATAAAATAGGAACAAAATAGGTGTAAAAAAAAAGAAAAGAAAACTAGGGTGCATATGGTAGCATTTCCGTTTCTTTTTTTGTTGGTATAAAAATTTTAGAAACAATAAAATTAAGTTTTTTTTTTATTATTTCTGTTACGAATTTGCTGCAAACATAATTCTTGAATTATAAAATGCATAATAAATGTTAAAAAATAGTCATAACTTAAAACTTTTTAATATATAATTTTAAAAATTATTTTTCATATAAATTTTTCTTTCTTACTTTTTGATTAAAATTTTAGAAAAAAATTACAAAAGATTTTAGATAACAATCTCAATTTTCAATAAATATAAATAACAAAAAAAATGGTTACCAAATACAATTTTATTTTTTTTATTAAAATAGAAAACAGGAAACAAAAAAATAAGAAATAAGAACGTTACCAAACGAGCCTAAAATATCTTATTTAGTCAATATAATCGACCAATTGCGTAGAATCTCCAAAGATAAAAATTATGGGCACTCTCTTGTAGCATAAAAATTATTGAACTATCTCTCATTTTGACATATGATCGAGTCAGCGRAGACAATTATAGTTGAAATTATTTAATAGCATAAAAAACATTTTTTGTTTAAGTTTTTTTTATATATAATTTAGTCTTTATACTTTTTTTTATATATAATTTAGTCTTTTATACTTCTAAACAAATAAGGGTCAAGTTGGAGACCTATTAATAATTTACTAAAAATTTCATCGAGAAGCAACTCAGTACATGAAATCAATGAATGAAATTGATAGATCTCCTACAATTCAAGCTTAAATGTTGCCTAATTATATTAATATTCCTATGATAATTACAGTAAAATTTAATATTTTTTCGAAAGTACAGAAACTAAATTATTATATATATAATTATATAAACAAATATGTTAACTAGTGCTAAAATATGAAAACGGAAAAAAAAAATGTTAACCCAAAGAAAACCTCAAAATTACTCATCGATGGGGACAAATTGAACTTCAATTAACAAATTTAAATTATTTAATTATTTCCATCCATGTTCGTTATCTTGTCATGCGATTTCTATTAACCTAAACATTTCTATAAATTATTTGTATATTTACGTATTATGATTAAAAGTGATCGATTATAGCTTAATTAAAACCACTGTAAAAGTGTTATTTATTAATTCAAACAATCTTCATCATTTTTCACAATTTCCATTATTTTTGCCAAAATATCTGTACGTCGACATTTGCGTAAAATCGGAACCTCAACACTTCCATCGACATCGACATTTCAAACCTTGATAGACTCAGAGTTGATTTCAATTTTACCTATAATATTTTAAAATTTATAATTCTAGCATTAATCGTTTCGACTTTCATTAGGGATTTAATACTATTTTAAACAAATTAAAAGATAGGAGTTAAAAGGACAAAATCAAAATAAAATACATAAATCAAGTGTATTTTTTTAATAATTAAACCTCTATAAAATGTACCTAATTTATTTTCTGATGCTTGGTATTTTCTTTTTGGTTTATATAAAAGACCGTACACACAAGTCAACTTGAACATAGCTAAACTAGTTAAGGCACCAATTTCTAACTAAAAAGTCGTGAATTCGAATTCCCAACTCGACATGTTTCATTGGTTTTGAAGCCACTAAAAAATATCATAATTTCATGAGAAGAATCGTGTAGCCTTTAACTAACTCTCCTGCCAGAACTTTGCTTAAGAGTTAAAAGAGAGCACCAAAACTTGAGAAGATCAGAAATATGCATTAGAAATTGAAGGCACATTTATTTGTTACACAAATTGATCAAAGTTTTAATGGCTTTTATTTTATTTGCCCTTTGCAAGAATTAATACACCAAATTTCATCATTTTTCTTCTTCCTCTTCAATTCTCCTTTTTCTTTGTTTCTTCTTTTACTATTGTTTCCATTAGTTTCTCTCTTCTTCCTACAAGGAGTAGGAGATAATGTTTCAGATTTGCATAGTCATAGTGAGTACCTTGTTATTATTCACAGAAAGCTTCCACAGCCAAGCTCTTTGTTTTTCCTCTACACGGATCGCCGAACGCCTTAATCGACACTTGAATGCTACAACTTTTCGATCCAATGCAAGCCTGTAGATAAGTAAATCATCAATCAGTACTACAATCCAATTCTACATGTGAAAAGAAAATCCTAAAAACTCCACTGAATCAGGAAATGTGAGACGATGGAGACCTTCTGTACAATGGAGAGTGCATTTTTGCTGCTGCATTGGCCGTGGCTGAAGCTCCCGCAAGTTCCAAGAGGAGTACCAAAACTTGCAAACTTTATGGAAGAAATGACCTGATTGGGAGATGGGCACTCTAGAGAGAGTACAGGTCCTGATTTTTCGAGTTTCGAGTCAGAGCTCCACATATCTACAGGTGGTGGATGGGACTCGGATACATGAGAACACAGCGATTCGATCTGTTTCGACGCAAACGACAATCGAGTTGGATCGCTGCCGATTTCCTCGAAAAGGACTAGGGTGTTTCCAGTTGGTTTCAACCACGATCGCGGTACATGGTATCTGAGAATCAGGAAGATCAGAGAGTTGAGGACATTTGAATTAACTAGAAAAGCCTTATCATCCAGCTGTGAGTGTGACAACTTACAGAGTCTGGGATGGTTTCCCACAGTTCTTGAGGCATTTGCTTGCGCTATAAGCTCCTTTGTAATTGCAGTATGTAGTACAGCGACCGGAGGCGGTATACGATGGCCAATAACGGCCAATACTTTGTCCGTTCACCCATGCCTCGCCCTTTCCAAACCCTGTGAAGTCTAGTGCAACTGGATCACTTCCAGCAGGGGCATCAAATGTGGTCTGAATCAACAAATATTGTACTTATCAGTGGCAAGGAAGCTAATAGCTCAATCTAACAGTACCTTATGGATTCTTTTTTTGTTTTTTGTTTTTTTTTTTTTCATTTTACTGAAGTAAATGGAAGATTGATGACCCTTAAGAATCCAGAGATTAGAAATAGTGAACACAAGCAAGAAATAAAGACACCCTTCCAAACAAAAGCAAATTCTGATGCATACTTGAGTAAGATGAAGAGATGTTAAAATGAATCCAAATGACCTAGTGGAACAACATCAAGACCATAATAAACTTGTATAAGAAGTATCTTCCAGCCCAATCAGATTAAATAAGTCTAATTATTATTGCAAGTCATGAGCATCCCACCTAAATTTTATTTAAAGACTACTCTTCGCATTTCCCAAAAAGTTCTCAGCTGTCTGTAAGGATCCCGATAACAGAAATGTAACAAGATAATTATATTGCAATATCAAAGAGACGTTACAATATTGATACCCCTTTGAGAGGTCTATTTATCTCCCAATAACTATGCTAAGTTCCTGCCTTAAACTATTTTCTAAAAGATCTTCTTTCCCTACCATCCCTATTTATATCCAACTTACACCTAACTAATTACCATAATGTCCCTCACTAATATACTAATAATATTCCCAATACACCATAGTAGGACTCTCACACTGTCTTTCCTCTCACTGTATTGTCTTCAACTGCAAAGTCGGTGAAGATACTGTACGAGGTTGAGCCAGAATCATGTCTGAACACCTTTAGAAAAGAATACAAAACTCTCAAAGCTAGAGTTTTGAGAAAGAACGCTGCTAAAAACCATTTTGCGGCTGCTTTGGATAGAAAGAAGGAATTTTGGGGATAAAATGACACTAGAGGGTTGCTTTATGGAATTTGTACATCAGCCACAAGTTGGAGTGTCTTGCATAAGCCTTTTTTTTCCCTCTTCGTAATTATTCAACTTCTAGTGAAAACTTAGATTGAGCTGGTTTCTTTCTTTTTGTCAAAAAAAAAAAAAAAAACCTTTAGAACAAATTTTTATCATCGAAACCAATCTTGTGGAACAAGGATCCCCTTCTCACTCTCTGACAGTTTTCTTATTTTCATTGATTTATACATGAAATAACTATACCTTGTACCACGTCAAAGGTTTATTCTTAGGCAAGCTAGGTTGTGAAAGCCATTGTGAAGAACTTCCACTCGACAGACCTAAATCTTCACCTTCAAGTCCAATCTGCCATCACATATAAACAAAATAAGGGTGAAATTTATAACGTCAGGCTATGAAAGGGACTTAAAAAAAACACCAGCAAAATAAAAGGCAAATTATAATACCTTTTTATCCATCATTATACCCAGCCGAGATAGCAGTATTAAGCAATTTGAAACCTTTTTTTTTAATTAAACAATATAAAAAGATAAAATAAAATAAATCCAGGATGTTTGAAGAAACCAACCTGATACGTCCATTGTCCAGAAGAGAGATCAACAGTGATGCCATTTTTCTGGCTTTCCAGTTTTACCGGACCTGTGATCCCTGCACCTTTCGTCTCAAAAAAAGCCCCATAATTCTGATACATTGCATAACAGAGTTTATCAGATATTAACTTTTTTTTTTAATAGTACAGATATAAACATTCTGTAATCACATTAAAAAGATTAAAAGTTTTTCATCCAACTAAAGAAATTTGCATTGGTAAAAGTTTTTGGGATGCAGATGATAATTTCTAGCAAGGTAAGTGTCATGTTAAGGCATCTCATTGAATCTTTATTTATATAATTATAGATTAATGTATTTGTAGCAGGAATTATTCTTTTGTTTGTTGAGCTTTAGCTGGAATTATTATTTTGTTTGTTGAACTTTAGTGCAACAGTTATGTTTCTGTTCGTGTGTAATTTTAGCAATAGGAATTCTGTATAACTCTATTGCTTTTGATTAGTATTATTGAATAAGAAAAACATTCATGTATTTCTTTGTGACCAATTACTGAATCTTAAGTTCAAAAGCTCAAACCGGCATCTAGTCCAAAAATGAGATCTAACCAAGATTGATAATCCAAAAGAGACACCATCTTAAGAGACCATATTAAGGATCTCACATTGAAAAGATAAGAGACATAACAAAAATTTATAATATAAGTAGGCTACTTTTCTCATTGCCAATTGGTTTTAAGATGGAACCCTATGAATATTGATATGTCATAACAAATTTTAGTAAGTGGAGGAGAACCTGAAGTCCCACTGTCAAACTCAGGAGGTCAATTGTGTTTTTCCCAGGTACCAATGTGACGGGGATCTCCAAAGTTACCTTAGAATTGTCACTACTACCTCTTCCACTTCCTACAAAGGCCCCATCAATTCAAACAACACTCGTAAAGCAGCACCATTGCAACAACGCAGGAACGATGTTAAAGTTATTCAAATGCACACCAACAAATAAGTACTTCCTAATCACCTGCAAGTTTTCTATTAACGAAAGCATGAAGGGCATGGCCAAGGGACTCCACATGGAGAACTGTTCCAGATCCATTTTCAAGGAAAGGTTCATCACCTTTTATGTCGGTGCTGCCCAATGGTATTGGCAAAGTTTTAACAAAATTATTTTTAAAAATTGGTTAGCAACCATTTAGAATAAAGAAACTGAAGATGTAATAACTAATATTATACATACCTTAAGGAATACCACAAGTAATCGCTTTTATCTGCTGTAGTATTTATTTGCTCTGAAAGTCCAAGTTTTGCAAAAGAATCATCCTTTGAGATGCCCACTGGTTCGTCTATCCAACTCCAACCTGAGTCAAATGCTTCAGAAGCACTAACATCAACCTTCAAAGGTTGATGTGAAAAGGATGGCCTCATTGTTACCGAATTAATCTGTCATAAAATGAGGTATACTTCTTTCATGCCTCATTTGGCCAACTAGGAGAAAATAAAAGAAATAATAATTGAAAAGTACTATTATAACTTGACAAGAGCACCAACAATGATAGTTGATAGGTCACAAATGATAGGTCATAATTTTAGTTTCAACCGGACAAGAAATACATTTACTGAGAGTAGAACAGTAACCTTTGCAGTATTAAGCACCACATTCTTGCAGTCCGGTAAGATGCTAACAGACCATGCTGGCAAATGATATGAATTACCATTGAAACTCACTGTTGCGTCAGATTGAGTGTCCACGTTGGCAAGAAAAGCAGAACATTGAGAACCGGACTTATAAACTGTTGCCTGAAATTAAGAAGTACAAACAATATCATCTCATAAGCCTTTTTCTTCTTTCATCTTAATTTTTTAAATGCAGAGCAGAAGAAGGAATTTGATTATTTAAGGTTAGAGCACCATTTTACAATTGTGATTGGGATAACTCTTCCTTGGTACTTTCTTGACAATTACTGCAAGTAGTTTTTATGATTGTCTTGTTTATCATACATTCTGATGCATATTTGCATCAAGTTTGTGTTGAACAAAATCCAGAAATAATGGTTCCTTCGTCTATGACGTCAAATTATAATTGTTTCCCCTACTAAAAGGGATCCAAACTAGACTTGTGCATTCATCACCTATTTATACTTGGTAAGCTCTTGACAATTTTAAGATGAAAAGAGAAGACTTGGTTACTGCATAGTCTATGACGTCAAATTATAATTGTTTCCCCTACTAAAAGGGATCCAAACTAGACTTGTGCATTCATCACCTATTTATACTTGGTAAGCTCTTGACAATTTTAAGATGAAAAGAGAAGACTTGGTTACTGCATAATCTCACCTTAGGTGTGAGATGCCCAGCCAAAGACCTTTTTTGAAGATTTTTTATTTATCTTATAGATAATTATAATGTTTATGATTATTATTCTGCCTTTCTTCAAAACTTTAAAGTTTCAGGATGACCTGTTGCTGCAGTTACAATTATATCTCACAGAGTGATTAAGATACTTTGAAAGTGGTTCTATAGATGATTTTGAAGCAAATAGTTAGAATAGTTCATCCAATGAGGTCAAGTGCAGACCATTAATAGGTAGAATTCATGACCAGTAGATCGAACGTAACTTAGAAAATACTGCCACTACTTTGAATTGAATTCTCCTTGGATGAGTTAAATGATTTCCGGTTACAGATTCTTGAGGGAGTGGTACCAGAGAGCTCACATCCATTTCATTAACAAAAAAGGGCAAGCCATAGGAGTATGGGATGATTGACAAGAAATAGGCACTGATTTACGTTAATAGTTATGCTAAGTAAGGCTGTGGACTCAGACAATCATAATAGCATCCTTGTGTTGAAAGTTAAGTAATTTGTTATTTCAAAGTTATGTTTAATGTATTTCCAATAAGTCCTTTGAGTTCCTCTAAGTGACTTCTTGGAATACGGAAGGGTTATGTAATTTCCTAGATAGCTATTACCAAGGACATTAAAAATAAATCTTTATAGAGCTCTTCCTACACCTATAAATAGAGGTGTTCTCCACCCTTTGTAAGCATCTCAAGCAATCAAGCTCCAGAGCAAAGTGCCAAAGCACTCAATAGAAGAAGTTTCTCTCTATTTCAAGTTCTCTCCTACTTTCTATCTTGGACTCCAACACCTCGGACTACTATGCTTAGAATCAATGATATAGTTCTCTTTCTAAGACTTATCGTGCATTATTCTACATGGAAATGAAATGAACCACTTAACAGGAATTAACAGTAGTTTGAATAACCTACCTCCAAGTTTTGACCAAGAGAACTAACTGCTGGTTCTGTGCTCACTAATGCTTCTTCGCACATCTTTATAGCTTTGTGGACTTCCTTCAAGTGACCCCACTTAGGTTGCCTTACCAGTCCTGTGGAATAGAAGAACAATCGTATAGAAGCATCGATGATAATTTAATTTGGATGATCGTGCATCCATATAATTTTTTCATTTTTTTAATAAGTCCACAATTTTGACAAGAAGTCCAACCAGCATCTGCATTCTTTATATGAAATTTTAAATAAAATTCAAGACAATTTCAAGTCCTGAGAAGATTTTACATCATTTTAACCAATCAATTAAGGAGCCAGAAAAAGTTGCGGATATTTAGTAGGTAAAAACCTAAACCATACCATACTCATCGATAGGGGCATCATAATCATAACTAGTAGCAATAAACGGTCCACCAGTAGTCCTGCCAAAGTTTGTCCCACCATGGTACTGTATAAGAGAAAATAAAGCAAATCCAATACCATCAATCACGAGCCCATACTTTTCAAGGAGGCGTAAAGAAATCAATTATTCTGTCAATCACAATGAGTATTCACGAGTGTAGTACCATGTAGTAGTTCTGGAAAGTTCCACCATTCTGGTAAAAGCGTGCCACAGCAAATGCAAGATCTTCTACGGGCCTGTACGGCGAGGCCCCACCAAAGGAAAGAAACCTGGGATAAAGTATTCTAAATTTTCAAGTTTGAACAACTCGGAAATAATTAAGAAATCGCGCTGACACAATGAAAATTTGCTGGAATCAGTAAATGCGGCAGTATACCATCCACTCCAGTTCTCAGTCCACATTTTGGGCTTATTCTTAGAATTTGGAGTGAATTGATCACAGTAGAATCCGTTGCAGGTGTTAATCTGCGAACAATACGACAAGCACGGGAAAATTATAGAAAATAAGGTAAGTTTATCTTCAATTAAGTGTGCTTTAGACTCGTGAAGGTAAACTTTGGCCTAATTGGAACTAGAACGTGTTAGATTTGTCGTCAACAATTTATGATCAATATTAGGAAAGATTCCTCACAATGGGATCGGGGGCATCAGGTTGGTTGCACATAACCCAAGGAACTCCCGTGTTCAAAGACGTAGCCATGGTTGCCGCCCATTGGACATAGGATTTAGCAGCAGACCCAAAAGCTGACTGCACGTTTCCATATTCATTTTCAATCTGATTTTAAAGAAAAGCAGCCACCATATCAACCTTCGATATACTCCACATGGGTAGTAGTTCAAGTCACAATAATTTATGAATAATGAAATACCATCACAGACAGAACATATGCAAGCAAAAAGCAGCAATTGTAAATTGAACAAAATACTTCCATTTCTATTAAAAAAAAAAAAAAAAGAAGGGGAAAGTGAGAAACTGAACAAACTACTTGAAATCCACCTGAGATAAAATAACTGGTCCGCCCAGGGATGCATATAATTTCTCCTGCTTCAATACATCAACAATCTTGGCCGTGAACCGCTTCATTTCAGCCTAGACCGTAACCATTATTTATTTTTAATATGTGACTAACAAAAACACTGGAGCAGAAAAAAAGCAGAATGCCGAAATGGTAAAGTAGTAATTAACCTTGAATGGTTCATTATCTGTGCGGAACTTAATCCCAGGTATGAAATGCAACCAAACTGGAAAACCTCTGTTTTTACATCAAACAGTTACCCGCAATAGAAAAACGTGTACAGGCATTGCACAAAAGGGCAAGGGGAAAAAACCCAGAGAGAACGAAAATGGAAAGAAATTGACGAATTGAGAATTTGAATAAAGAAATGTACCCATAATTCCACTCCGCGCACACATAAGGACCAATTCGTACATGTACATACAGACCAGCAGCTCCTACCAGCTTTATAAATTTAACTAAATCCTTTCTTCCCTCGAAGTCATACTGTTGATAATGGTGAGATTAAGAATCACAACATTTTATATAATAATCATATAAATAATACTTGTCCACTGTTTGGTAGGCGAGAAAGCGTAAGAAGACGGAAAAAATTGAAAACAAAAGAAAGAAAGGTTCCATCCATCCCCGAGCTTTTCCGAGAGATCAAAAACACAAATCAACGGTGAACAGATTTCTCAACTATGTTCCAAGAATTCGCATAGAACCAAGACGCGGCTCTTGGATCGAAGAATTCGCAAAATGTACCTGGTTTCGAACTGGTTCATGTAAATTCCAGAACACATAAGTCTCGATTACATCCAAACCTCCCTCCTTCGATTTCTGAATAAGGTCCGGCCACATCTGAAGATTCCAGAGGTATAAACTCAAGACTGATTCAAACAGAAACATTGAAGTGTGGAGAATGAAGAAAACAAACTTCGGGAGTGCTGCGAGGATAGTGTATAGATCCAGAAACCAAGACTCTCCGCTTGCCATCGATCACCAACGCCCGGTGATCGTACGTCACATTGGCGGCATTGGCAAGCGAGGAGGAGGCTAAAACGCCGAGAACCAACAAAACAACCACCACCGCAGATTGAACTCGCCCCATTGCTCGAATCTAATCCAAAACGAGAAGAAAATCACAAAAATATCCACCGGATATCGCCGACGAGTAACTTCCATAAGATTGATAAGAAATTGCTTAAAGTTAACTTCCACTAAAACGTACTAAAAAGTAGTACAGAGCAGAGAAAATGTTGCTTCGCCGCTTTGTATACCGTAAACAAAGGAATCAGAGAGATTAGGAATAGCGTGAAGCTAGCAACGGAGGAAGAAAACACGCCACCTTTTGATGCTTCTTCCTGTTCTTCTTCTGCTTCTTCTTCTTCTTCGTCTTCTTCTTCCTCTGTTTCTCTCTCTTCTGTAACTGGTTTTACTCACTCCATTTTTTCACACCGCCATTTTTCTGCAGCAGTAGAGCTGTAGCTGTCTGGATTATTATTATGGGGGACGCGGGAGGGGGAGAGGAGGTGCTCGACAGTGAGCTTGAGCCGGAATCTGCTGCAGACGAGTCTAGGGAGCTTGGTGGTGTGTTTGCCTCTCGATCTCTGCCACGTGGATCCTGATGGTTGTTGTATGATTAAAATTATAAAAAAGCAACAATAATTTGACTGCTTATCTGTGTGGAATGTGGAGTCCGAGGGATTTATCAACCACCCATCATTTTACATCAAATAAATAAAAACCTTTTCTTTTCATTATAATTATTTTTAGGCTAAATTACACCCCCAAAAAAAATACCCTTTTAACTTTGCACTGTTTCAAAACTAGTTATATTCTTTGGAAAGTTTTGTTAATACCTTTCACATTTCATCAAACGTCTTAAAAATATACTTTGAACAAATATTGGTTAATATGTTGAACGCAAAGTTGAGGTGGCATAATCTAAAATGATGTGGGAATTAACGTTGAAATTTGACTAAATTAAGTCTGAAAAGAGAGGAGATGTGGAAGAAGCTATCGTTTTCCGAAACAATAAAGAAGTTGAGTATGAAATTGGGGGACTGTGAATAGCTTCTTCCACATTTTCTGATCTATTTTTAGACTTAATATAGGCAAACATCCACCTTAATTGTCAGGTCGTTTCAGATTATGTGATGTCAACTTTTCGTTAAAATATTAGTGGATGCTTGTTCAAAATGTATTTTTGAAACGTTTATGAAAAGTTAAAGTAGTATTAGAACTTTAGAAAAGATAGAGGTATTTTTTAAACAAAAAGAAAATTCTAGTGATATTTTTTGTAATTTAACCTATTTTTTTAAGAAAATACGTGCCTCCCCAATAATGAAGCGGAACCTAGTCCTCCTTATCACTAAATATTTATTTGACAACTCATTATTATTTAAAAAAAGTTTATCTTTTTGCATTTCTCATTTAATGATGAGGAGGACAAGGTTCCTTTCATTGTTGAGGGATTTTTTTTAAATAATGTATTTTTTAACACTTATTCCAAAAATAAATCATTAGTCAAACTATTTCCAAGAATAATGCTGTGAAAATAGATGGTCGTCTTTTCAATAAACCTAACAATTTAAGTACTAAAACGAAATAATAGAAAATATAGCTCTCTCTATCCTAAATTTCTCCCCTCTTCTTTTATTTTTTTCCGTGATTTTTTTTATTTTTACTTTCTGATTTTTATTTTTTTCGTAGTTTGGCGTATGGATCAAAACTTTTAAATTTTGATATTAATGGAAATGTCAAGATCTCAATTTTATGAAAAATTTTGTAGAAATATCGATAAAATATTAATATCAATGTCAATAGCTATTTCCGAAAGAAATTCAATTATCTATTCCATATTATTTCTATTTTCTTGATAATTATTTATATTTCTTCAACTTTTAACATTATAATGGAATGTACCTTTTATATCGAATCATGGATAGCGAATTCACGAAGATACAAAAATGTCAATATATTGATAAACTTCTAGCGGTTTAACTTTTATAATTTTATGTATAGTCTCTATCATGAAAGTGAAGATTTGACTTGGACATAAGAAGTTTTTAATTAATTAAATTATTTATTAATAAGCTATATTTTAATTATTATTTTGAAAAACTAGGTGGTTTTGAAAATAGCTAGAAAAATATTGTCATTTTGGATAATTTGTGATGGGTCTACTAAAAACTCTACTGAAATCGTGTGTTAAAGACACAATTTTATAGTATTTATATATATATATATATATATATATAGATAAAATCTTGTGTTGAGGACAATATATTCTTATTAATTGAGAAATAAAATTTCTTATGATAGTAACCATTTTATTTTATCTGCAAGGTGAAAAAAAGGACTGAAGTACTTAGCTTATTGAATAATAATAATAATCTTTGCCAACCAATCATATTTCAAAATATATATAGAAATGTCTTTTTTAAACTCCTTTGGGTTCTAGTTTAGCCAAAGTTTCTTTATAGGATATGAGTTTAGCTTGTAAGTTTATCCGCATGGTTTTAAAAGTTTTAATTTGGTTTTTATTGTTGGGTTGAACTTCATAAATCGTCTCAAAATTATCTTTTAACTACTCATAAAAAGTATCACTAGTCAAATTATTGAAAATATCAACTCATTGTCACATTTAAAAAATGCACCAATATGGTAATGGTAGGCTATGTGTGAAGTTTAATTAAATTATAGAGATCAATTGAAGATTTTGAAACCATACAAATCAAATTTAAAGTATATATACACATATAATAAAATTGGTTATACTTTTACCCTCCAACATATACCATGTAATTCTTATATAATATATGGTCAACATACAGCATAAACATTCCACTAACTAAGTAAGGATTGAACCAAATAATTTTATATAGAGACCTTAATTCTTGACTCTCCCCTCCTAAAACTAATAGAGTTAATCATAGATATTTATTAGATACAAAATTACAAATTTAGGAGATGATTCAGTGATGTTCATGTTTTTTATTTTTTATTTTTTATTATTATTTTTTTAATTTCCTTTTAAATATAAGCCTCTAGAAACTATTTTTATTTATCTCTTCTCATGTATAATAAACCTTTATAAAATTGTGTATAATTTTTTACAACAAAAAAAAATAACTTTATTGTTTATTTTGAGCCAGTTTAAAATTCATAGGCGGTGGAATCTGGGAGATTATTCCCAAATCCGGTCTCGATCTAGCGTCGTATATCGGCCAATCCCAGCCGTTGGATGTTGATGGAAAGAAGATCATTTTCACGAGGGTTTTAATTTTCATAATATGCGGCTGTATTATTGTCGTTTCGTTTATTATAACGAATTTCAAAAATCTTTATGTAATTTTCTTTTTTTTTTTCCTCTGTTTTTGGGTTGAGGTGGGCCCCACCGACGATTGGCCGACCATCTCGATCGGTGTCTTCTTGTTCTAAGTTCCATACACGCGAATTGATGCCGCACAATCTTCGTTCTCTTCTATTCATACCATTTTCCTTGTATTACAGTTATAATACTATTATTTTTTTTATTTTGGTTCATTTTAATCTATCTGGTTAAGAAAAAATGTACCTCGTACTCTCAAATATCTCTATAATAATATATAGAGTAAAATATATTTTTGGTCTCTGAGGTTTGAGATAGATGTCTATTTGGTCCCTAAAATTTCAAAATGAACATTTTTTGTCCTTGAGGTTTGAGATAGGTGTCTAATTGGTCCCTGAAGTTTCAAAATGAACACTTTTAGTCCTCGAGGTTTTAAGTAGGTGTCTTGGTCTCTGAATTTTTTAAAATGAACACTTTTCGTCCTTGAAGTTTGAGAAATAGTTGTCAAATAGTTTGAGATAGATGTCTAAATGGTCCCTGATTTTTTTAATGTTAATTAATTAATATTAAAATGACGTTGCAAATTGCAATTAAATTGTTTACTATAGTTGCTGATGTGACAAATTATATTAATTAAATAATATATGTGTAGATGATATCATTTAATTAATATAATTTGCTACATCAACAACTACAATAAACAATTTAATTACAATTTGTCATATTATTTTAATTTAGTTAATTAACAGTAAAAAAAAATCAGGGACCATTTAGAACTATTTCTTAAACTTTACGGACCAAAAGTGTTCATTTTAAAACTTCAGGGACCAAGTTGACACCTACTTTAAAATCTCAAGAACCAAAAGTGTTTATTTTGAAACTTCAGAGACCAATTAGACACCTATCTCAAACCTCAGGGACCGAAAATGTTCATTTTGAAACTTCAGAGATCAAGTAGACATCTACTTTAAACCTCATGGACCAAAAATATATTTTATCATAATATATAATAGTATGACATTGTTCAAATGAGAATGAAAAGTTTAAGAACGTACTTGAAATTTTATAAAATTTAGAGGTCAAATTGACACAATTATCAAAATTTAAAAGCTAAATTTACAAGTTCGACCTTATATAACAAGTTAATTATTGCAATGTTTCTTTGTGCGCGCTCATTTTTTTTTAATTTAAGATTTATGACTAGCTATGAGTATTCTTAGAGTTGATTAGACTATTTTATCTGTTAATAGGAAATAAACACCAGGGACAACAAATATGTGAAGAAGGAATGATTTCACTGCATTCAATTGAGAATACTAAACCTATTTATATAGGCAAATACATAAACGAATTAGACAAAAATAGCACTCCACAACTAACCAAGTCCTTCAAAGTGCTAACAATCCTTCCCTTGAACTGAACACTACGATGCTTTAGTTAACAACATCAACGTCCTTCAAAGTGCACAGACCCATCAACCTTCTCAAATTTTGGATAGTCAAAATCTTGAGAGGTTTCGTAAGTATGTCAACCAGTTTTTCCTCGCTTATGCAGTATTTCAGATCAATGGTGCCGTCGTTGCTAAGATCTCTTAGAAAATGGTACTTCACGTCCATATTCTTGCTTCTTCCATGTAGCACAGGATTTTTGGACAAGTTAATGGCTGAAGTGTTGTTAGAGAAAATCGTGGTTGCTCCTGATTGCTTGAATCTCAACTCCTCTAGAATTCTCCGAAGCCAAATTGCTTGACAAGCACAAGCTGTTGCAGCAACAAATTCAACTTTTATGCTTGAAAGAGTAACGATTGGTTGCTTCTTCGATCACCACGAAATGACACTCGTCCCATACAAAAAAATGTAGCCCGAGGTGCTTTTTCTATCATCTTGAACTCCTGCATAATCACTATCAGCAAAATCGGACAATTCTGACATCTACCCTTCTTGTAAAACAATCCAAAATCTCTCGTCCCTTGCAAAGAAACGAAGAATTCTCTTGGTTGCTAACAAGTGCATTTATGCAGGATATTCCATGTATCTACTAATTAAACTCACTGAATACATTATGTCTGGCCTTGTTGCAGTTAGATACATCAAACTATCAATTTGCTTGTAAAGTGTGTTGTCCACCTTCTTCCGTTCACGATCTTTATGGGGCTTCAAACCAAACTCAACTGGAGTGTTTACAGGATTGCAATCCTTCATCGGAAATATTTCAAGAATATCTCCCACATATTTCTTTTGAGAGATAAAAATACCAGCATTTGATTGTAGCACTTCTATTCCAAGATAATAATGCATCATACCAAGATCAGACATTTCAAACTCATCTATCATGGATTTCTTAAATTCTTTAAACATGGCATCACAATTTCAAGTAAAAATAAGGTCATCAACATATAAGCAAATTATGAGAATTTTGCCATTATATCAAACCTTGATGAAAAGTGTATGCTCATGGGGGCATTTAGAAAATCCAACTTTATGAAAATAAGATTCAATGTGACTATACCATGCTGGAGGGGCTTGCTTTAGCCCGTAAAGAGCTTTCTTCAATTTGAAAACTTTATTCTCATTTCCAATTGCAACATAACCAGGGGGTTGGTCGATAAATACCTCTTCCTTCAAATAACCATGTAAGGATGCCGATTTGACATCTAGCTGGAAGATAGGCCAAGAATTTTGAGCCGCCAATGCTACCACCAATATAATTGTCACGTCTTGCAACCGGAGAAAAAACCTCAGTATAGTCGACTCCATATTGCTGCTTGTATCATTTAGCCACCAAATGCGCCTTATACTTGTCAATCTCGCCATTTTCTTTCAACTTCGTTTTGAAGACCCACTTAACACCAATCGTTTTCTGACCTTTTGGAAGATCAGATAACTCTCAAGTATCGTTTCTCTCAATGGAATCAATTTCCTCATCCATAGCTTTCTCTCCATTTTTCTTCTTTGATATCAACCTCAAAGGTTGTAGGATCACAATATGAAAACAAAGCAAAATGAGTGATTGAATCTTGAATGCCGGTGACCTCGTAATCTTCCATCTAAGCAGGCCTTCTTCTAACACGATGTGGAGATTATGCTTCTTCTTCATTAACTTTTGTGGCTGTTGGTGAGACTACATCGGTTGTTGGAATTTCATTTTCAATCACAAGAGGGGCTGAAATTTGCTCCTGGTTATCATTATCTTCTGTAAGAACTTGGGTAGGCTGTTGCCTATTCCAGTCTCATATGTTCTCTTCATCAAAAACTACGTCCCTGCTGGTCATTATCTTATCTGTTAGTGGATTAAACAATTTAAATGCTTTAGATGTTTCACTTACGCGAGAAAGATGCATTTATCAGCCTTATCATCCAGCTTCTTCCTCCTTACATTCGGGACATGAGCATATGTGATACACCCAAAAATTCTGAAATGATCCACAACAGGTCTTCTTCCACTCCAAGCTTCTTCTGGTGTCATATTTTTAATAGCAAAAGTTGGACTTTTGTTAATAATATGAACACTGCAGTTTACCACTTCGGGCCAAAAAGTCTTATGGACTCCTCCTCTTGCTAACAAGCTTCTAACCATATTGATAATGGTTCTATTTTTCCTCTCGGACACACCATTGTGTTGTGGTGTGTAGGGTGTCGTAAGCTCTCTTCGAATGTCATGCTTTGCACAAAAAATTTTGAATTATTTTGAGCAATATTCGCCCCCACGATCTGTACGAAGAGTCTTTATGGTTTTGCTTGCTTCATTTTCAACATGGGCTTTGAAGCTTTTAAATGTAGAACAAGCTTTTGATTTTTCATGTAAAAAATAGACCCAAATTTTTCTAGAAAAATCATTAGTGAAGGTAATAATGTATCTCTTACCTCCATTTGAAATTGGGTTTATTGGCCCAAAAATATATGAATGCACCAACTCCAAAACATGTTTTGCTCTCCAAGACTTCCCGTTTTCAAATTTAGAACGATGTTGTTTGCCAACAACACATTCTTCACAAACTTGAGTAGGTGAAATAATCTGAGGAAGACCACTGACCATGTTTTTCTTTTTCAGGGTCATCAAACCACTGAAACTCAAGTGGCCATAGCGAAAATGCCACAACCATGAGAGATCTTTAATTTCAGTCATTAAACAAGTTTGAATACTTTCAATCTTCAAAGGAAACAATCTGTTTGCAGACATAGGAACTACTGCAATAGCTCCTCTAATAGGATCATAAATTTCACAAGAATCATCTTTAAAAGTAATAACATAACCCTTTTCTAGTAATTGACCAACACTCAACAAATGACTCTTTAAACTAGGAACAAACAAGATGTTGGAGATCTTTTCCACAAAGCCGTTTTTAGTTTTTATCTTAATATCCCCTTTTCCCATTACTTTCACAACAGATAAATCACCGAAACTGACCGTGGAATGAAAATCTTCATTTAGATGAGAAAAAGAAGACTTACTCCTACTCATGTGGTGCTGCAACCCGTATCAACGTACCAAATATCGGGTTCTGGTTCCTTGCTATCTGAGCAACCATCAGTAGTGTTTCGACTTCATTTTTTTCAACAAAATTTGAAGTCTCTTCCTTATCTCTGTTGTAGGATAGCTTGGTGTAACATTCAGATTGGTAATGACCAAGTTTATGACATCTAAAACACTCGATCTTGGACTTGTCAAATTGTTGATCAGGCCATATACCTCTGCCTTGAGATTGGTTGGCACCACCATTATTGTTGCTTTAATCTCTTCTTCCTTTGTCTGTGCTTCGGCCTATACCTCTACTCCAACTTTGACCCTCATCCTCGTCTTCTGAAATTGGAGGAAGAAGTAGAGGTAGAAGCCTTTAACGCTTGTTCCTCTGTTGTGGAATCTCGATTCATGTTTTGTTCATGAACCAACAACGAACTTTGGAGCTCATTAAGGGAGAGCGTATCTACATCTTTAGATTCTGCAATCGAACAAACAACATAATTGAACTTAGGTGTCATAGATCTCAATACCTTCTCAACAATGACAACATACTCCATATTTTCACCGTGGAACCGCATTTTGTTGGCCACAACCATCATCTTTGCGAAAGAGCTAGTCACAAATTCACGTTCCTTCATTTGCAGCATCTCGAATTCCTTTCTCAAGACTTGAAGCAGTACACACTTTGTTCTGGAAGAGCCTTGATACTTTTTCTTCATTGATTCCCAAATATCCTTGGATGATTCTTTGCAAAGAATAGTCTCCAGGATAGAATGATCAATGACCTAAAATAAATAATTTTTTGCCTTCAAGTCTTTCAACTTGAGTCCATCCAACTCCTTCTGTTGAGCGTCTGTGAGAATCTCTCCAGCTGCAGGTGTTGCAACACTCGTTTCAACAACATGCCAGTCTTCTTTGGACAGTAAGACATTTTCCATCAACATGCTTCAATGATCGTAGTGACCATCAAAACAAGAAATAGCTGCTTGCACAAAGTTACTCTCCGAGACCACACTTCCTTGTGTTTCCCTTTCAGAATTTTCACACTCTTCCCAAACTTGACTTTGATACCACTGTTAATAGGACAATACTGACTTAATAGATGACATTAATTAATAAAACTAAAAATAGTTATTATGCTAACAATCAGTATTTATTTATATTTAGTACAACATGTGAGAGTGGGGGATCGAACTTACAACTTCTTGGTTGGAGATATATGACAATTACCGCTGAGCTAAACTCACTTTGGCAATCAGTATTTATTTTTCTCTTTGTGTTAGATGCTTATTGTGATTAGTTGAATTTGAGCATTTTGTCAAGCACTTTTTTTCGGTGTGTTTGGGAGGATGATAGAATGAGTGGTTTTGGAAAAAGAGACTTAAGTATAATTGATTTTTCAAAATCATCATCCAAGTGATACTTTAAAAATCAATTTAAAGTGATTCTGGAGTGTGTTTGGGAGTGATGGTAGAAGGAATGATTTTGAAAAAAGAGATTTAAGAATAATTGATTTTCCAAAATCATCATCCAAGTGATACCTTAAAAATAAATGTTAAGTGATTTTATATTTTCCTAAAATCAATTTTTTAATTTGACAAACATGATCCATGAAAATGGAAGTGATTTTGCCAATGACAAAAATAATTTTGTCATGCCAAAATCACTTCGAAACGTATCCTTAGACTTTCATAAATTCAATTTTTTTATTTGTCAATCATGGTCGATAGAAATGGAAGTGATTTTGGCAATAGCAAAGTGATTTTGACCTTGCCAAAATCACTTCCAAACACACCCATATTCAAGTTCAAAGATTTAAATGGATTAACCTTTAGAGTTTAAGGATAAAATTAACTCTAAATTAAATTTTAGTGTATGAGCTTAAGATTGTTCTATTTTTGTCCTAAAACATTCAAAATCCATTTTTATCCATGAATTTCTAATTTTGTTACTTTTTGGTCCCTTTTCAATTCATAAGGTGTTTTTGAGAAATGTGTATATTGATGTATTAATGTAAATATATATTCAAGTCACATAAATTGAAGACTATTTAATAAGTCGAGATATTAGGTAGCAAAATAATATTTGAAGAACTAAAATTTATTATCTTCTTAAAATTCAAAAATAAAAATGAATTTTCTTTTATAAAGTATTTTAAAAGTTGAGGGGCGAAAAATAAAAAAAAATGAAATTTAAACCAAAATTCAACATTTTGTTTTATATTTTTGTGAAGAAGTCATAGAAATGGCCCATGGGTGTGGACATTAGTCTTCTTGTAACTTTTTTTTTTTTTTTTGGGATAAAAGTATTCTTGTTGTAAATTTCCATGGTGGTCGTGAGTTCCAAATTTAATTTATGAGCACACTAAATTAAATTAATTTACATTAACTTCTCCATCCAAGACTTTTTTTTTCTTTTTTTTTTAAGTACCTCCATCCATAAAACTTACGAGAAGATTTTGTGTATAGTGTTTACAGTGTGTTTTTGCAAGGATTTGCACAAAGTCTATCTAGCTCTAACCTAGTCCTTGCTTCGACCCAAAATGCAAAGGGAAGACCTGCACAAGAGGACAAAATCTCCGACGCTCAAGTCAGTAAGCAGCTCGGACTCAATATTAAGTTTGAGGAGAAATTTGATACCTGATGGTGAAATGAGGCCCGTTATTTATAGGTTTAGGTTCCGATAGGGGTTATGTCAGTAAGCACCTTGGTCAGATTTGAGGTCAGACGTGTCAGGTTCGAGCAGGTCGAACTCGAACATACTCTTGGAAATGTCGAATAAATTCCTTAGTGGTGAATGTCCCATCTCGGAAGGATCCGAGATGGAGCTCCGTAAGCTTATTCCTCTAATTCTTCTGTTGACGGCGAATCACTGTCCTCCACGTGGCGAAAGGATATTTCTTCCCCAAATATTGGCTCCCTCTCTGTCGGGTTCGATCTCGACCTGGCAAAGAAGTTCGTTGTCCTTAGGGGAAACTGATTCGCGAGGTGACTTCCGAGGCCGAAACGATAAATGTTACCGTTGGGAAACCTCGAAAACAGAACCGACGACCGACACACACTTGATTACCTCTGACGTTCGGACTTCCTCCGATCTGAGACGTCCAATTTGGGACACGTGTGTGGCTAAGATTGAATTTCGGGTTGCTATAAATACCCCAAGGTTCTGTTTCCGTCTTTTACGCTTTCTGAAATCTTGGAGTCCGATCTCATCAGTTCAGAATCTTTAGGTCAGTCTCGTTCCTTCTCTTTTGCTAAGTTTCTCTTTTATTTTCGAAGTCATGTCGACGTCCTCTAATTCCTCGAGCTCATGTAGTAGTAGTTCGTCTAGTGGGGTAGTTCGGAATCGGGACACTTCTCCCAGAAGGGTTGATTCCGTAGAGGAGTTTGCCAGTAGGTTAGACTCCGAGCTAGAGGAAGAGATAGACAATTTTAGGTTCTCAGAGGACGATGGGGATGATAGCGATATCTCAACCTCGGGACTACCTCGGCCCCCTCCGTATGAGATATAGCATTCTGGAGGACATCAACCTTAGGCTCTCCAAGGAAGGGGAACGAGTTGATAATCCACCTGAAGGGTGAGTAACCCTTTACCTAAAAATGTTTGAGTACGGCTTCCGCCTTCCTATCCACCCTTTGCGCAGGAGTTTTTGTTCCAAACTGGACTTGCTCCTGTGCAAGTGGCCCCCAATGGGTGGGGAGTCGTCTTTGTTCTAGCCATTTTATTCTGGTTACGGTGTAAGGAGGTGGACGATCTGGACCTCTTTGGAGTTGACCAGCTTCTGGCTTGCTTCGAGGTTAAACGAATCTCTAGGAAGCCAGAGAGGTTTACCAATGTGCCAGAAAGGGTGCGGGAGACATTCTGAAGGGTCCGATCTCCATAAAGAAATGGGTCGGAAAGTGGTTCTTCGACTCTAGCACATAGCTGGCCAGGAACGAGTCTGACCTGCCTTTCTTCAACGTCCCCTATAGGTTTGGGAGCTTAGGTAAGAAGTACAGTCTTTACCTGCTTTTAATTATTTCTCTTTGTTATTCAATCTGAAACTTTACCAATTTCAGTTGCTATAAGGCCGATCTCTCAACCTACCGAGCCGACCTTCAACGCTTTGAAGTTTTTCAAAGGCAGATTCAAGAGCGGTAAGCATATCAGTACGCTCATCACTGACAAGCTTCTCCTTTTTTCCGGACTACTCGACTACAACCCCCTTCTAGCCCCGCCTGAAGCTCGAAGACCTAACTCCGAGTTAGGTTAGTCGCCTGCTCTTATGCTTTACTTCGGATGCTCTTCATGTTGTACTTGACTTACAGTTATTTTTTTCTTACAGCCATGGTTTGCAGCTTCTCCTAGGATGTTCGGCGCAAGCGCCCACG